CTCCCGAGGGTGACGCCGACGGCGACGGCGGCGGCGGCGGCGGCGGCGACGCCGGAGGGGCAAGGGCGAAAATCGAAACGGAGGGGACATGGGCTGCGGGGCGGCTCGGAGATGGCGACCCTGCGGGCGCAGGGGGGGGGGGGCGGCAGGGGCGGGCGGGGGGGGCGGAGATGAAAAAAAGAGGGGTGAGAGGGGATGAGAGGGGACGCGATGGGCGGAGGGCTAGCGCGTGCGATGCCCAGATTGAGTCGGGCGGCGCTGGGTTTGAAAAGGCCCCAGAAGCCGAAGGCTTGCGCCACGCCCGCTTGCGCGATCCGAGAAGAGCGGCGGCTCGAGTTTATCACTGTTGCTACTGAGTGTAAGGGAAAAAAAGACAGACGACGGGATAAATAGGCGAGGGGCAGAGGGGTGGCAAGGAGGGGGGCACGGGATCAAGGAGAAGGCGGCACGGGAGAGGGAAGGAAGGGGGAGCGGGGGAGAGGGGGAGGAAGAGGGAGGAAGAGGTTGAGGAAGGACGAAAAGCAGGAGGAGAGAAGGAGGAGGAGGAGGAGGAGGAGGAGGAGGAGGAGGAGGAGGAGGAGGAGAAGAAGGATGACGAGGGAGGAGGAAGGAGAAGAGACGAAGAAGACGAGGAGGGAGGGAGGAAACAGGAGGAAGAAAGATATCGAGGGGGGGAAATAAAGGGCCATGACGCCATTCCTGTCATTCTCGTCCTCGTCGTCGTCGTCCTCGTCCTCGTCGTCCTCGTCGTCGTCGTCGTCGTCGTCGTCGTCGTCGTCGTCGGCGTTCCTCCGCTCGCAGCGCCAGACCAGCCCTGCCGGGGCGACCGCGCGCCGCGCGCGGGGGCGCTCTCACTCGGCCCCGCCTGTCCACGTGCGGCCGGGCGGGCGCCAGGATGCCGCTCATCATCTATGAGGGACTGGCTCAGGCAGGGGAGGCATCGACCTGGGATCGGCGATACATCGCCGACAGATGGGTCATGGGCCCCCGTTAGCGAAACCGCACGCTCCTGGGCGGGGTGGGATATCGGATACCTATTGGCACCTATTGGCAATGAATGGGCCATTTGGGGGTCGATGCATCACCCGCTGAGCCTATCCCCCCTAACGTTCACCCGACGCGCACCGGCCGACAACTGGGACTGTCCGTAGGCCTCCTGCCACTGCTACTGCTGCTCCTGCCGCTGCTGCGTCCGGGCCGCCGCCGCCGCCAGCGGGCGCCGAGAGGGAGTCACCACGGACCCACCGATGCCAAAGCCTGCAACGCCCACTCGGATGGGAAGACGCCAACTGAGCACCTGCACCGATCCTGGCCAAGCCCACCCTGGGGCCCAGGATCGGTGCATGCGCGCTCCGCGTGGAGCCTCCGAAGCCCACTCGGATGGGAGGACACCAACCGTGAACCTGTGCCGAGCCTGAACAGGCCCACCCTGGGGTTATAATGGGCGGTGCCCTCTAGAGACTGTAGACATCAAGATCTCTGTGGGCAGGGTGCCCGAATGTTTCTGGGAGTGCTTTGGGGGGTGGCGGGGCGCGCTCTCGAGAGCGCCTCGTGGAGCACCCCTTGGAGCTCTCCTGGGTGTTTTTTCCCAACCATCCTGTGGTGTTGGGTCCTCGTTTTGAAGAAACGGTCCCCGCGTTCCTTTTTCCTCCTTTTCCTCGCCCTCCTCCCTCCTGCGTTCGCATGCCTCCCCACCACCCATATCGGCACACCCCTCACACGCTTCGTGGCCCCATAGGCAGCTCCACCGAAGGCCCCAGTGGCTGCGTTCGCATGCCTCCCCACCACCCATTTCGGAACACCCCTCACACGCTTCGTGGCCCCATAGGGAGCTCCACCGAAGTGGCCCGCATGCCTGGGCTGCGGGAGCTCCACCGAAGGCCCCATTGGCTGCATGCCTCCCCACCACCCATTTCGGCACACCCCTCACACGTTCGTGGCCCCATAGGGAGCTCCACCGAAGGCCCCAGTGGCTGCGTTCGCATGCCTCCCCACCACCCATTTCGGCACACCCCTCACACGTTCGTGGCCCCATAGGGAGCTCCACCGAAGGCCCCAGTGGCTGCGTTCGCATGCCTCCCCACCACCCATTTCGGCACACCCCTCACACGTTTCGTGGCCCCATAGGGAGCTCCACCGAAGGCCCCAGTGGCTGCGTTCGCATGCCTCCCCACCACCCATTTCGGCACACCCCTCACACGTTCGTGGCCCCATAGGGAGCTCCACCGAAGGCCCCAGTGGCTGCGTTCGCATGCCTCCCCACCACCCATTTCGGCACACCCCTCACACGTTTCGTGGCCCCATAGGGAGCTCCACCGAAGGCCCCAGTGGCTGCGGTTCGCATGCCTCCCCACCACCCATTTCGGCACACCCCTCACACGTTTCGTGGCCCCATAGGGAGCTCCACCGAAGGCCCCAGTGGCAGGGTTCGCATGCCTCCCCACCACCCATTTCGGCACACCCCTCACACGTTTCGTGGCCCCATAGGGAGCTCCACCGAAAGCCCCAGTGGCTGCGTTCGCATGCCTCCCCACCACCCATTTCGGCACACCCCTCACACGTTTCGTGGCCCCATAGGGAGCTCCACCGAAGGCCCCAGTGGCTGCGTTCGCATGCCTCCCCACCACCCATTTTCGGCACACCCCTCACACGTTTCGTGGCCCCATAGGGAGCTCCACCGAAGGCCCCAGTGGCTGCGTTCGCATGCCTCCCCACCACCCCATGTCTGCACACCCCTCAACACGCTTTCGTGCCCCATGGGAGCTCCACCGAAGGCCCCAGTGGCTTCGTTCGCATGCCTCCCCACCACCCATTTTCGCACACCCCTCACCCTTCGTGGCCCCATCGGGGCTCCACCGAAGCCCCAGTGGCTGCGTTCGCATGCCTCCCCACCACCCATTTCGGCACACCCCTCACACGTTTCGTGGCCCCATAGGGAGCTCCACCGAAGGCCCCAGTGGCTGCGTTCGCATGCCTCCCCACCACCCATTTCGGCACAACCCTCACACGTTTCGTGGCCCCATAGGGAGCTCCACCGAAGGCCCCAGTGGCAGGGTCGGCATGCCTCCCCACCACCCATTTCGGCACACCCCTCACACGTTTCGTGGCCCCATAGGGAGCTCCACCGAAGGCCCCAGTGGCTGCGTTCGCTTGCCTCCCCACCACCCATTTCGGCACACCCCTCACACGTTTCGTGGCCCCATAGGGAGCTCCACCGAAGGCCCCAGTGGCAGGGTTCGCATGCCTCCCCACCACCCATTTCGGCACACCCCTCACACGTTTCGTGGCCCCATAGGGAGCTCCACCGAAGGCCCCAGTGACAGGGTCCGCATGCCTCCCCACCACCAATTTCGGCACACCCCTCACACGTTTCGTGGCCATTGATTGGGACTTCCACCAAGCCCCAGTGGCCGCCCCACAACCCCTTTCGGCACACCACTGTACCCCTCACCTCTGTGCTTCTTGCCGCGCGAGGGAGCTCCACCGAAGGCCCCAGTGGCAGGGTCCGCATGCCTCCCCACCACCCATTTCGGCACACCCCTCACACGTTTCGTGGCCCCATAGGGAGCTCCACCGAAGGCCCCAGTGGCCTGGTTCGTATGCCTCCCCAGCACCCATTTCGGCACAAGCCCCGCACACGCTTCGTGGCCCCATAGGGAGCTCCACCGAAGGCCCCAGTGGCCTGCGTTCGCATGCCTCCCCCACCAACCCATTCGCCCGCCCTTCACACGATTCTGTGGCCCCATATTAGGTAGCTCCACCGAAGGCCCCAGCGGCAGTCACCGCCAATGCCTCCCCACCACCCATTTCGGCACACCCTTCACACGTTTCGTGGCCCCATAGGGAGCTCCACCGAAGGCCCCAGTGGCGCGGCGCCTATGAGAAGAGGGGCCTAGTTTGCGCGCCCCCTCCTTCGTCTCATATCCGCGCGGCGCTCGCAGCTGCATATGGTTGGGCCCTTCGCCGGTGTTTTTTTTTTATGGCCCCGCGCCCCTGCGGGCAGTCCGCCTGCGAAACAAGAGCGCGCAACGCAACGAACAAATATTTGGATGTTGACACGAAGGCGTATATACTATAATCATATACGGGGGAGGGTGGATACTTTGCTTGTTTCCTAAGAGGAGGGGGATGGACGGATAAGCAAATAGGAGCGAGGACGATTGTCATTCCTCCGCTGTCTGGTGGCCTCGCAGACGCAAGCTGCGATCATGGCTGCCCCGCATGCCATGCTTCTACACAGTGGAAGCACTGCTTCAGCGCCGATGCATCCACAACCATTGGGCCCACTCCTTCTCCCTCGCACCTCCTTTGCCACCCTCCTCCCCCCGCCCTGTCCCTCCACGAACCCTTCCCCCTCCCCGCCCCCAGCCCCTGCTCACCTGCCCCCCTCGCCACCCCCTCTCGCCCTTTCCCCCCGCAGGCGCCCGAGACACCGAGAGCCCGCTACCCTAAACCACGTCTCTAGTCTGAATATTAATCTGCGCGTGCGTCGAGATGGCAGTGGGTTCCCGGCATTGCTAGCGCTTGCTGTGCGGGCGGCCTCTTCCGCAACATATCCTTAAACTGAGATCTGGAATTGCATGGCCTGCTGGCATCGCGTGTGGAGCGCCTGCGGGAGCGAATCTTCGGGTCCCCCTGCGTGACCGGATTCCTCCAGGGCCCTCGAAACAGCGGTCCGAAGGGTGACTTTGTCCTTGGGCTTCTTGAGCCTGTGCAAAAGAAGCCCCGTGGAAAAGACTGTCGTGCAATTCTTGATCACGGTCTCGGCCTCAGAGATTTCCTTGTCCCCCGCGAGAGGGATCATGAATTTCGCGCTGGTGTCCTTGACCTCTTTCACTGCCTGCAAGAGGTGAGCGCAGCGAGCTAGATAAGAGCGGGAGGGCACGTGAGCGATAGGGGTGACATGATGCATGCACGGACGGGGGGGAGAGGGAGAGAGGAGGAGCGGGATGGGGGAGATGAGCGTCAGAAGAAGCGGGGGAGCGGCAAGAGGAAGGAAA